TGGTGATTGCATCACTTGGAAGAGAAAACAAGAAGATGGAGAGGGGGAGGTGCTCTGCTTTGCTGTTAACTCTTGGGACATTCCCCACTGGTAATCAATTTTGCTGCTATCTATTTAAAAATCGCTAGAGTCCAAATGGCTTTTCCCAAAAGAATATTCTCTTTTAGAATTTGGGAAAAAAAATGAAAACAAATAAATTGCAAATTTCTCCAGTAATGATTTTTTTATCCTTAAGATCATATAAATGACATATTTACAAGCCATGTAATCAATTAAAAAATCATAATGTCCAAATAAATACCTTTTGCAAGGGCTCTCAGGTAAAGCTTTAAACCGATTTGATTACATGATTCCATCCATCACTGGAGCAGAGAAATGTAATCATTCTTTTCATGTATGTATGAATAAAGATGAAGTTGTTTTGTTTTTTATCTAAATTTCACTTCTGTTATCTATCATTCTACTTAAACCATAGTTGATTCTGTGGTAACTGGGAAGATTGCAGGATACTTATATAGATTTTTTTTTCAATGCTGTAAAAGAATTTGTGTTTTACTTTAAAAAAGAAACTCTCACCTGTTTTTTAGATCTGCTTCTCCAAACCTGGCATAGCATGTACACATGTGAATTCTGTTTACAAAGAAAATGCACAGGAATGAATTTGTGCATAAATAATTTAAAAGATCATCTAAAACTTAATATATCTCATTGCTCCATTCATTTGCTTCTACAGAGTGAATGCATTTTAGAGAACCAGAAATGTGGCATAATATTGGAGACACCAGATGTTTACATCTATATAGGCAAAAATCCACAAACTTTTTGTAGGACAGAAAAGCTATTTATGCTGCAGCTGATTCTTATAAGGTATGCTAGAAAAATTTGAAAGTTTTGGGGAAGGTGTTGCATAGCACAAGCAAGCAGTCTTCTGTTTGATTTGATTTGATTCCTCTGAGCATAATATGAAATACTGTGCCTCAGAGTGCCTAGAACAGGGTTTGACAGAGTATGTATTAAAATGGATCGGTTTATTTTTCCTTCCTCTCAATTACTTTAATGTTTTAGTTATCTTTCCATAAATTTCATTATCCTTTAGGTTTATTTAAGCCATCATTTTTATGCAAGCTTGGAAAACATTTTAAAATAATAATTTATTTTTAAACTTGAATTCTTACTAGCTTTTCTGTTCTTGTAGCCCTTGGTATGAAAAGTAGACACAAATTTGGACTTGTCTAGCTGTTTTTCATCTTTGTTGGCTCCAAGTCAATTAAAAGTGCTCAAAGCTTCCTAGGGCCCCAAGCAGCAATAATCCAGTTCTTACTTTAATCCAATTTCAATGACTTTCCCTGCAGTTGACAGTAATATAGCCCTCATGATGACCAATTAGGTATTCCACATAAAAATCGCAGCTGCTTCAGCGGAGAAAATGATTACTGTAACATCTGGTAGTGTACTGATAAGGTTATCAAACAGGAAGCTAAATCTTGAAAATCAGCTGCTCTTTATTCCAGCTTCTCTGACTCTCATAGAATTATTAATTCTAGGACATATACAGGATGAGTCAGCTTCAAGCAAAGTAGAAAAAAAAATCAAGCTGCACAACAGTTTATTTTAAATGGATCTACAAGTCAGGCAAGACATAATTCAAACATGAAATAAACTTTTCACACTACCCGAAGAATATTACATTAGTCAGAAATTTATAGGATCATGATATTGCATACTTTCCTTGGAATGCATTGTTCAACATTATATATGAATTGATGTTTAATATGTGCTTCAAGAGTGGTGATAAAGATATCATCAAAATAAGTGGTATATTTATCTTAATATAGTTATACAGAAACATATATTCAAGTGGTGTTTTATCTTCATGGGAGGAGATTTATATTTTAGATACAAGGCAAGGCCATATAAAAAGAACAAAGTTAGAGTCCCTACATTATATTATGCAAGAAAAAAATGGATATATTAATGTGCTAAGTGTAAAGAGGTGAAAAATTCTGTAAGACAATGCAATAATTATTTACGTTCATGGAGACAGAAAGTGTTTCTAAACAAGGCAAATAAAGCATGTAACAAAAATTTTGGAAAGCTAAATTAAAATGTTTAAACTTCTTGTAAGATAACAAAAAATCAGAGGATACTTGAAAAACCAATAAAATGTGTAACACATTTATATTACAGATGGTTAGTATCTTGATTGAAAATTAAATTGCTAGAAATCACACAAAATAACAATCCATAGTGAAAGGCTATGTACAAACAACTTACAAACAGTAAAATACAAACAGCCAATGATCATATGAAAAGCAGCTCATTCTGAGAGATAATCAAGAAGTTTCTAGTCATCTAGATTTATAGAGATAGATAAATGATATATGGATAGATAGATTTCTCATTAAGCTGGCAAATTTTTAAAAATAGAATTAAACTTAAGGGTTTATGTCATTGTGGTAAGATGGGTACTTTCATACAAAGCCCATGATATTAAAAATTTTTCAGGCTCTTTGTAACAAATTTGATAGTGTTCAATGAAATTAAAATGAAAATATTCAGTAACTCAGCAATTTTATTTCTTAGCACTGTCCACAGGGAATACTTACACTTGAATTAAAGGAGGGATGTACAGCATCCTTTAAAATTGTAAACAACTTAGATGTCTCTAAAATATTAGGTAGATTTATAGTTATGCAGATTTTATGGCAATATCCCCCAGATATACTGTCAAACGTTTTTAAAAAAATCACGGAATTATATGTATGGTATGTCATTTATGTTTACAAATACACACAGAAATACTAAATATTTTCTACTAGAGCATGTATGTGTGTGTGTGTATGTGTGTGTGTGTGTATAGTGGCAAAAAAAAATCTGGACTATGATAACTAGTCTGATAACTACCAGACAATGAGAGAAATGGAGTAGAAAGTAGGGAAAGTCAAGGATTGGGGGACTGGGTGTTGGTCAACAGGGTTATTAGTTTTAGTTGTAAAGATTTAGTTTTTATAAGGACAATGCATCTGTTTATGCAATATCACATATTTTGTATAACGTTTAAATATACAACACAGAAACTTGAATCAGATCTGAGACATCTAATAACTGAAATTACAGAGGAAAGGGAAACAATATTAACTACACAGGGAAGGATGAGGAAGGAAGGAAAGAAAGAAGGAAGGAAGGGATAAAGAAAGAGAAAGAAAGAATGAAATTAGAAAATTCTCTAACACCATATACGAAAATAAACTCTAAATGGATTAAAGACCTACATGTAAGACCAGATACTATAAAACTCCTAGAGGAAAACATAGGCAAAACACTCTCTGACATAAATTGCAGAAAAATTTTTTTTTGATCCATCTACTACAGTAAGGGAATAAAAACAAAAGTAAACAAATTGGACCTAATTAAATTTAAAAGCTTTTGCATAGAAAAGGAAACCATAAACCAAATGAAAAGACAACCTATAGAATGGGAGAAAATATTTGCAAATGATGTGACCAACAAGGGATTAATTTCCAAACTATATAAATAGCTCATACAGCTCAATATCAAAATAACAAACAACTCAATCAAAAAAAAATGGACAGAAGATCTAAATAGACAATTCTCCAAAGGAGACATATAGATGGCCAACAAGCACATGGAAAGATGCTCAAGATCACTAATTACTAGAGAAATGCAAATCAAAACTACAATGAGGTATCACCCCACACTGGTCAGAATGGCCAGTCTATAAATAATAAATAAAAAGTCTACAACTAATAAATGCTGGAGAAGGTGTGGAAAAAAAGGAACCCTTCTACACTACTGATGGGAATGTAAATTGGTACAGCCACTGTGGGTAACAGTATGAAGATTGTTTAAAACACAAAAAAGTCGTTACCATATGATCCAGCAATCCCACTCTTGCGCATTTATCTGGAGAAAACCGTAATTCCAAAAGATACACCCACCCCAATGTTCACAGCAGTACTATTTACAATAGCCAAGACATGGGAAAAACTTAAATGCCCATCCACAGACAGATGAATGGATAAAGAAGATGTGAAATATATACGATGGAATATTACTCAGCCATAAAAAATGAATAAAATAATGTCATTTACAGTAACATGGATGAATTATATTAATTGAAATAAGTCACATAGAAAGATAAATATCATATGATATCACTGATATGTGGATATCTAGAAAAAGAATATACAAATGAACATATTTAGAAAACAAATAGTCTCAGACATAGAAAACAAATTTATGCTTATCGAAGAGGAAAGGGAGGGGAGAGATAAACTCAAAGTTTGGGATTAGTATATATGAAATACATAACCAACAAGGGTCTACACTACATTCAATATCTTGTAATAACCTACAATGGAAAAGAATCTGGAAAAGGTATATATATTGTGTGTGTGTGTGTGTGTGTGTGTGTGTATACACACCTGAAACATTGAAAATCAACTATTCCTCAAAAAAAAAGGTACAATTGCATTTAGCTGAAGAAACAAAATTAAAAGGAAAAAATCATAGCACAAAAGAAAAAAGAACAAACCATTCTAAAACAAGGATATATCAAAAGTATATTTAAAGTTACTTTAAATCCATTCTGTTTGTAACTTACTATCCTATTGCTTGTAAGGAAAACTTGTCAAATACTTGAATAGCAAAGCCCAAACATGTATGTAATTTCATAAGCATATTTGAAGCCTAACTTGTTCAGGATAAGTGGCAATACCACAGAGATCCTACACTGGAAACCCAGTGCAGGATAGCTAGCTACCTAAAGACTCATTGAAGAAAAGAGAAAACAAAAGCAAAAACAAAAACAAAACAAACCAAAACACCCTCTCATGCCAGGGATGGAGAAAAAGACTTTTAAAAATAACGTAAGACCTCCAAAAATCAACCAGCTGGAGACCACACAAAAAAACCCTCAGATTGAAGTCAAATAACTTCCCTCAAGAATCCCGTTACTGTTTGTACTGGTAAAGACAGAAACCACTCAGGCGGTGTTTTCTCTCTCTTCCTCTCCCAAAGGAAGAGGAGAACGATCAAAGGCAAATGGCAATTGCAGAAGCAACGTGGAGAACCTGCTTCAAAATCAGAAGAGAACACTGCGCCTCCTCATCATGGTTTTGAATGCTTTACACGATCAGAGAAACTTCTCCAGTAACAAACTACAGTAAGAATCCCTACAAGTAGAGGCTTGGCCCTGACCCAGCAGCCTCTGCTGGCTCCACGGTAGCAGGGCACTTTTCACTGCTGGCAAGATGATTTCTCCCATTTCTGGTTCTGCTAGAAAAAGGGGGAAAGCACATTTGCACATAGTCTTTCATATGCCACAACTTACCAACTCATTTCAAACGGAAATGTAATTTAACAACTTTTAAAACGGCCGCAATTCATTAACACAATACTGATTGACAGCCAATGAGAATCGGTGTCTTTAAAGCCCTGGAGGTATTCACTCCACAGTTCCGGTAAAGCAGCCCCGCCCCCTGAAAAATACTAAGGACAAGGCGGGTTTTGCCTTTTCTAGTGAGAATCGAGCGGATTCTACTGATTAGTAAATCTTAGCTGTTGCATTCAAGGCCATCCTAAAAGTTGGACTTTCAAACTGATAAAAGGTCACCAAGACTGTGGCAGGGAGGTGAACTGGGTAGCTGAGAACTAGCCCTGGAAAACAGAACCTTTTGGTTTTTGTACCATATGATTGCACTACCTGCTCACATTTTCCGGATTTTTAAAATAAAGCTGGTTGGCAGATTTGGGGGAAAAAATGGTCACATAAAACATATTATAGTAAATACATTTTATATGTTTTAATGAATGCTGAATACAAATGGACTTCCAAGCCAGAATCGGTGTAAAACTGTAACACACATAGTTCAGTAAGTTAATATAACGTTTCTCAATCCTAGATGACCAAGTGACAAGCTTTAAACATGAAATAATGTTATCACAATTCTATCCATAAACAGTTACATCAGAATCTTTGCAGAT